TCTATGATTATATATTATTTTCATGTATCTTTTTGATGAAACGAAATGCTAATACATTGTACTTGATTTCACGATTACGTAGCAGAACTCTTTGGCGATGGAGGTAAGAAACGTTTATTGGATAAGGCATATGTGCTATTGAATAGAATGCAAGTAGAATGTATATGTACAGATAAAGTTGATTACATCTATCTTGCTAAACAATCGCAGAGCCACCCTAATCAATTTTGCAGAGGAACTAATCCTACAATGTCATATTTTTAACGATTTCTTTTAACTAAACGGACTTTTCTCATTGAATTTTCATTTAATATCGTTTCATTTTAAAGCTGAAAAAATTATTCTTAACTTTCCTTATCTGATAATCTACTTTTTTGAGTTCAATCCTTAAAAATAAATTGTTCTTTCGGCATAAAAATGTTCCAATCATTAGATTTTCACTACTGTAAACAATGTCATGTGCCCCAAAAATCTTTGATATCTTGATAAAATTTTGATAAAGATACTAAGAAACTTTATCAAAAGATATTAAAAAAAATAAATAAATTTGCCTTACATTTAAATATGTTATTATTGTAGCATAAAAAGTCATCGTAAATGTTTTGAAAAAGAGTTATAAAAGTGTGTAATAAACATCAACAGCCAGATTTCTTGTTTTTATTTTTCACAAGAATAGCTTACTCTATTGAGAGGCCATTCCGTAAATAACGGGAGTCTTTTAGATAACCTTTGCTATTTTTATTTGTCCATCGTCCTTCACCTTCAAATTCCATTAACGTTTGAAGACATTTTATCTTTTTCATGTAAGTGCTGGATTTGTTACAAACAATTCGAATTAAAAAAAATGGTGAACGGAAAATTTATGAATTTCTATATCCCTTTTACCTCTGGAATAAGGGTTGGGAAACCATTAAAATAACCGAAATCTAAGAAACTAACTACATTGAATTAAAAGCATGAAACGACCTTGTTTTTAATAAGCATTTAATCCTCACAATGGTTAAATTGATTACCTGACTTCATAAATAATGAAATATTTTGATTCTTCAAAAATATTCCCCTTTACCATTAGAAAATCAACTTATTGCAAAGTAACTATACATGTAAGCCAGCTGGTTTTTTTTGTTATAGTCGATTTCGTGGTGGTAGTGGGTATATCTATTATATATACAGGTACATATATGAAAGTACATTGATTCGGTCTACCAACTTTTCCCATCTGCTTTTAGAAATATACACGTATACAGCAGTTTTGATAAGCCTGTTTCAAAATTATGAGTAACTGTCGGGTCAGTAGTTCAGTTTTATAACGAAGCTCTATTGAATATATGAGTAAAGGGCATTATTCCTTCAGACATATTTCCTTTTTGAGCATTTAGCAAGTCAATTCACCATGAAACGGGTATGGATATGATGAATAGTGATGTTTCTTTTAAAGGTTTTCGCATTTCATGCCCTATTTGACAAGGATATTGTTGTAAAACAGCGTCTAATGATTATATTGGATTACATAAATTCTCTGTAATTGTTCTTCTCTCGTCCTAATTATAAGCAAACAAAGTTTAAAGTTATGAACATAGACGCATTCGATCCTCCAAAGAACTAATTACGTTACGTATTACTTTTGGAAAGTAATAAGTATATATATATTTACTTTCACTTTCATTATTCTTATTTAAAACAAAATGCGTGTTTGTGAACACTGATTCTCGCTCGTAAGGCAGTTAATGGCGAAGAATACAAGCTAAGATCCAAGGTACGGTACAAAGCCCAAAATTGTTGTTATCCAGATTAAGGTCTTTTCACAAGGAATACAAATGAAAACCCTAAGTGTTCAGAACATACATCTATAAATAAAGTTTTTTTTAAGTGGGTCAAACAGTAAGGTCAAGATAAAAACGCCAAAAACATATATACCAATTGAAAAATCTAGTCACAATATATACACATGTGAAGTACGTTTGTACGAATGTCCGAACACAAACTGTTCAAAAGTTAAGGAGAAGATTAAATTTAGATATTTTTTGAGACAAAGTCAAGAAGTCAAACTTGTGGCACCAAAAGCAATGTCTTGTCACAGGGAATACGAATGTGAAATATGGAATCGATAGTCCCGCCCAAGCAAAAGGAATATGCAAGTTTAAAGTATTTTTAGACCGACAGACAGATGGACGAACGGAGAGGGCAAAAACTATAAACACCGGAATCTTCGACTAAAGGGGCGTAAAACTGATTTTTTTTTTTTTACATATTTTGCTCTACATATTTTGCTCATGTAAAGTTCGCTATAGCTGTAAAATATGTCCTTGTTTTATTTACTTTTTTTCTATCAGGCACATGAAGGCAAATTTGGGACTTTGTGCACTGTATTGGACTTTAGAGGACATTTCTTTTTTATTACAGACACAAAAGTACTGAAATGCGTGTAATAACTTCTTATGATGTATTTCTGCTTTAAATTTCACCATGCTTTCAAATTCCCTACATCGACTTTCATCAAAACAATAGCGTCCGATTCAAATGGATAGTAGCTTTGAGTATGAAATAATACCTATTCTTAAGGTATATGTTAGCAGTTGAGATTTCATACGTGAACCGGAACGGGTACGTATAGTAATTACCTAAATTCTGCGCGCATTATGGGATCAATTTTAGCGATGACAAGTTTTCTACAAGTTCTTAGAACTTGTAGAATAGCCTTTTCGCGTACATACAAGTGTACGTGAAGAATAATAATACATGTATATGTGTGAAAATGCGATTGTTTTACATTATTTAGGATGTTTAGTTTCATGAGCATCTATTTTAATCAAGATTTGCTAATTACCTACAATCAAACTGACGTCAAAAACGTCTAAATAGTTGGAACAGAGAAACCGATCGTGGTGTTTACGTACACATACATGTTACGATTCATAAAAATCTTAACAGACAAATTAAAAAAAAAAACATGTGAAAACGAACGCCAAAGTATATGCACAAATACATGTAAACGTACGCTTACAAGTTCAACATCTCGGCCTCTATGTTTTTTTTTTATTTATGATTTGAAAAGAAAATTGAGACATTGATAGGAATACCAAAACATGTATCTTTCATTATCTCCCCCTGAAATTAATAAATAGAGGTTGACTTACAAAAATACAGTCACACCTATTTAACTGAATATGAATCGTTGATTATTAAATCATGCATATCACGTAATATATTATTATAATTAAAAATATTATGTTTTAAGATAGAAATTTTCAAAATTTGAAAAAAATGAGTATATATATTTTTAGATAATATGTTCTAATCGTTTTTTTCTAATATTGCCAAAAATAAAATATGAATTAATATTTTCAACTTAGTGAAGATACTATACATCACGTGGCTTATGTTTCAATGTTCCTGTTTAAGAAGAAGGAATGGTTTCCATACAAATTTTGCCCTGTGATTTTTCTAAAAAAATGAAACTGGTGTAAAAGTTGAAAACTCACGCTTTTTAAATAATCGAAATTCAATGCAGAAAAACCATACAAGTCATTTTTCTCACATGTGTTTTTAAATGCTAATTATGACGTCATAAACATGTGCATTTTCCCGTATTTTCTTAAAAAGTTGCAGAAGACACCAATTTTCAATGGAATTTTCTTTCAGATAACATGGTCCACAGGCATCGCCCACAAAGATTTTGAGATATGTGATTTGTTATTGAATTTTGCACAAAATATAAAAAAATTAACGTGGGCGACGGCTGTAGACACTGTTTTCTAAAGGAAAATCACCCTTGAAATGTGCAATTTTGAGGCTTTTTCGGTTGAAAATAGAGAAATGCTTCACATTAATGAAGTCATATTTGCAGAATGGTAAACCTTCATGCCATATTTTTTCCTGATTTATCAGTCATTTATTTAACTAATATTTAAGCCAGTTTCAAAACTTTTTGATGTCATTACATTTTTAGGGCACAATAAAGCTAAAACCATACTTTCTTCTTTCCCCTCCTTCTGGAATGTCAAATAATCAATACATGTTTTATTCGTCAAAATCTAATTTTGTATAATTAAAACCTCGTGACAGATTTATAATTATTTTTAATTTGTCATTAATGAATTAATAAATTATCATTGATGAAGCAATGAAACTAATAAACAGATAATTGTTCTTTTCTTCTTTTCCTAATGACCTTGATCTATATAGATGTATGGTTACACCGCTAAAATTAGATCGGCAAGTTGTGAGCATTCTTATATATAAATATTTACATTCGCTTGTGTTTGTCTACTAAGCAAACTGTGAAATCGATTTGGAAACCGTTTTCGTATATTTTAACTCGTAGAAATATACACCGAGAGCGCTTCATGAAAAATATGCCTATGTGCAAGTCTGTGTGTTTTACACACCATTACATCACACAAAACTTAAAAACATTTGTTAAAAAAAATATTTTTGTACACTGCTGTAAATTCACATATTTTTGTGGGGTCAAATTTTCGATGTTTGAGGAAAATATGCATATGAAATTTATTACAGTGTACTTTGTGATGTTCATAAATACGTGAGACTCTCAATTCCTCGAAAACAACGAAAATTGAATCCCCACAACAATTAGTGATTTCAAAGTTCCTCGAAAATATAAATTGATCTATGGAACTGACACTACAATGTTGTGTGTAATTTTTATTTTAAAAAAATTAATATGGAAAGGAATTGCGGATTTATGTAAAATATCCAAAAATGAAATTTAGGGTCTAGGGTCGCACATTCAAACCATTTGTTTTACTCTTTACGACGCTAAAACTGAAAGCTTTCAAATGTATTCCAATTGCGTTTGAACATTAAAAGATAACAAGAAATGCTTTATATTGTTTAATGATATCCACTTTATTTTTTTTATTTCGATAGATAGAATATTACTTTTTGTGTTTTAAATATCATTTTTCATTAATTTTATTTTTTTTCTTCTCATACACACTTAGAAAAATATATGCAATCCAAACAATATTTTTTCAGCATGTGTGTGCACTAGATTTCATTTTTTCTCACAAGTGTTACCTCGACCATTTTCTAAGTCCAACATTTCAATTTTTGAAGGACTGTCTGCTTTCCTGAGTTTTGGAAAGATCTTCAAGCCGATGTAAACGAGAAAAAGCATTGTGGAAAATAAAGCAAGCGACAAAAGACCAAAAGACATGAATGAGTTGATTGACATAGTTGGAGTCTTTACGAAACCTTCTGTAGAGTATCCTGTAGTGTCTAAAAAATAAAACAAAACATCCAAAGTATATATAACCTCCACCAATTGCAGGGTAAAAATGTATTTCGGTATTTTACAAAATTTACCGTTCTCTAACTTACAACCGTGAATATGATTGCAAGTATCGTTGTTGCACTTTTGTTTACATAATGACTGGCACTTTCTTCCAAAAGTTCCAAATGGACAGGGTATCGAACAAGCGGGACCATAGTAACCTATATTACACTCTGTAAAAAAGATCAGCTGAAATTTTTTTACTAACAACCTTTAAAAGTATTATAGTTCAAGCATGTGAGGGATTCAAAAGAGAAATTAATTTTAGTGATACTTTTTGCATTTGCTGACATTTATTTTCATTATGAAATCTACCCGCCAGTTTTATCCAGTGGCTGTAAATTGCGTAGCTCTTTTATTAATTTGAACCTTTTTTCTCCTCCAAAGAGATTTATCCCACTAATAGCACTGGATAGTTGTGTGATAGATAGTAGATTAAAAACCATTCAGTAAATCTCTTTCATGCATTTATTTTATACAGAAGAAAATTTTGAGCATATATTTGTCAACTACTATGGGAAATATGCCAAAGTATCATTTATGATATTTTCTAATCATATTTATTTCCACATCAAATCGGCATATGATATATACGAATATAGATATCTTGTTAATCGTTGTACATGTAATAACATTTAAGTTGACATACAAAAATTACATTGTTCAGTGATGAAACTGGTTTGAAGAGTATTTAAATAAAATGTCAAGGAGCTCTTTTAAAAAGTTCCATTTGTTACCTGATGATAATTTAGTTCAAAATGTAAAAGGTATTCACCAGAGCAAATCTTCCTTTTTGCGTCCCACAAAAACCCGTCACAGCATTTATGTGGTTTACTACATATAAATGTGATATGATTTAAGTCATAACATCAACCATAATTACCTCTGCCTTCTTGATAATGATTATACAAATCACTAGTGTTTCACACAAATTATTACCCTTCGCAGTTATTGTTCCCGAAAGATAGGTCAAATATAAAAATGTTGAAAATGATAACAATAATGAAAAATTGCAATGGACATTTTTTCAACATACTCCTAAACTTTTGTGAGATTTCACTTTGAAAGTGTTATTTCCTGTTTTTGTGTTTTATTGGGATTTCCGAAAAACACCATTCGTGAACAGTCATGTTTAGTTACATTTATTTCCGCAAAAAGAATTTGAATATTCATTCTTTTTTTTCATAATATTAACTTTTTGGCTTAATATTATCTTTTTTTTTCTTAATCTTTTGAAATTGGTCATAATAATCTTTTGTCAGTACCGCATCTCCCTCAATATCAAAAGTTCTTGATGAATGGAAAAAATAATCTTAGAGAAAACTAGAGAAAAAAGACAAAAGGGTGTGAAAGCGAATTGGAATTAAATGAGATTACATATAAAAAGACACGACATTTTTTTATAAGCCATACAAATTTTCCAACTCTTTGAGTATATAATTGTTTTGTTTTTAGTGAAAGACTTGGATATACATGTATACATGTGTAAACATACAAAAGCATACTCCTGTGTATGTATGTTGCAAGTGATATAACATTTCAGAAGCAAATAAAAAAAAGTATCATCATCAATACACTTAATTGACGACTTTTTCCTTTTTCCGATCATGACAAGGATCACAAGGTGATTGTGACCAGTCGGCAGGGAATGCTTGCTCATTCATGGCACCTGATCCCATCTCTGATGTTTCGGAGGTTTGTGTTTCCTCTGCTGCTATTTTGTACTGTTTTATGGACTTTTAATCTTGATTACTTTCATTTCGGGTTCTGCTCAATGGGATTGATTGATTGTATACTGTTTAACGTCACTCTCCAGAATATTTCACTGATATGGAGACGTCACCAATGCCGGTAAAGGGCTGTAAACTTGAGCCTTTGCTCGAGGAGGGAGGGATCTTTATCATGCAACGCCTGCTGTAACACGGGGCTTCGGTTTATACGGTCTCATCCGAAGGACCGCCCCATTTAGTAGCCTTTTACAACAAGAAGGGGTTACTGAGGACCTATTCTAACCCGGATCCCCACGGGGTCTGCTTGATGGGGATCGAACTGATTTTGAAGATGTTTATATTTCCTTGTTGGGCAGAGATATCAAAATGTCGCGGTAAAATTGACCATAACCTCGCGTTTCCACTAATTTAATAAATTTGGAATTCAATCCCCATCAAGCAGGGGATCACAACAAGGTTATGGTTAATTTTACCGCAAAATTGTGATATCTCTGCCCGACAAGGAAATACAAACATTTTCAAAATCAGTTCCATTTATAGTTTTAAATTAGGATCAATTCGAGTACGGAAGAACATGCGTTTAAAACATTGTCATTTGTATCAAAACAAGGAAAATTCAAAGGTTTTGTTTGGTTCATTCGAAAACTTCAAACTTAGATGTATGTTAAATTCATGAAAATTTGATTTAATTGTTTAATACCCGCTTAGGTGGTATTGAAGCTAAAAACTGCATTATTTCAAAGTAAGACAAACGTGAAGATTTTGGTTGTCTTTATTTTTATTTATGTTTCCTCATGCTGCACAATCTCACCGAAACTCTGTTTTTGCTGAGATATAATCAAATAAAATCAACACCATTGTAGAGATGAAATATGTCATTTATTAAAATGACGAAATAAGAAAATATATATACATACCATGATACTGGATCAGCTCAAAAGGCAATCGCACAAAATACATATTAATATACAGATCCCCTAAATTTACAGATAAACAATATTTGCAAAAAATTATAAAAACAGTAGGTATACAGCAATAAGATGGCATTACAAAAATAAAGATGCCAAAATGTCAATTGTAGCTTATAATCAATTTAAAACATATAAATGCAAGGTAGGAAAAGCTGGGGTGGTGGTGGGTGTGCCAATTTTTTTGTTGTTATTGGTAGCGTCAACAAAGCGAGGATGACCCTGCGCTGACTTGTCAGTTACAGACAGCATCAAAACACGTGATTAAGATGGACATCTCTGATTGGCTGATTGTCTACGGAGGGGTCAGGTTTGACCATGGAAAATTTTGGAGTTGCGTAACAAGCAGCCGAAAATGAAGAACTGGGGAAAATTACATAACATGGAACCTGACACTTGATAAGCCTGAGAGAATTCCAGCAAATGGAGAAAAATCAAAACATTGAGTTTGAACAATAAAATAGAACATCTAATTACTTACATTTAGACAAAAGAAAACTAGAGATACTGTGAGCGATGTGCTCAATAAATGATACCCCCGCCTCCCATATGGTTATAACTGGTGAAAAAGTCCATGTTTTCCTGTAGCCGGGAAACCCAAAATATGTGTCGGATCAAAAAGTAAAATAGGAGGTGCACAATGGCAATATGTAATAAAGATTCTGTGAAAGTTTCATCAAATTTCATTCAGTGGTATGAGAGGAGTTGCGGATAAGAGATGGGTACCCCAAAGCGTAACAGACGGACGGACGGACGGACGGACGGACGGACAGACGGACGGACGGACGGACGTACAGACGGACGGAATTAACGATTACTATATACCCTCCCGCTTTTCAAGCGGGGGGTATAATAACAGCATTCAACACATAAATGAAATTATTTACATAATTGTTGTTTTATTCTCAGTGTGTTTGTTTTATAACTACTTTTTTCTAGACCACATTTTGTTCATTTAAATCAAAGCATTACAACAAGACAGAACAAAAACTTTATTTCTGTATCAACATTTCACTTTAAGTGTTTATTTTTTATTTACATAAATACCTTAAATAAAAATTTAAAGGATTATAACTCTGGCGTCACAATACTCTGTTCAATGCAATACATCTTTCGTTGCTGATACAGCTACTATTATATCATACACACCGTATATACCCTACCACACGCTACATGTAGGTCTTTTTATTCATTATACCCCCCGCTTGAGAAGCGGGAGGGTATATAGTGATCGTAAATTCCGTCCGTCCGTCCGTCCGTCCGTCTGTTACGCTTTAGGGTACCCATCTCTTATCCGCAACTCCTCTCATACCACTGAGTGAAATTTAATGAAACTTTCACAGAATCTTTATTACATATTGCCATTGTGCACCTCCTATTTTACTTTTTGATCTGACACATATTTTGGATTTCCCGGCCATGGCAAAACATGGACTTTGTCATCAGCTATAAACATTTGGGAGGCGGGGGGTATCATTTAGTGAGCTCATTGCTCACAGTAATTCTAGTTTCTGTAAAAGTAGTAAAAATTTGTATTGGATTAGCTTTTTACTCCAAGTACTGCACTTTAGATATACATTGTATAAAGAAAGAATACAAACGAATCTTTAATACTTAAGTGTACAAAATATTTGTCCGCAATAAAATACATTCAAATAATAACGGGCTTATTTATCGAGAAAACATGAGAATCCCTGAGGCATATCCCAATCAGCATAGGGATCCCCAGAAACTGCTTGATCCCCCCCCCCAAAAAAAATCCCAACAAAGTAATGATTAATCTTTTTTTGGCTGGAGTAGAGTAAAAAAATGCTGACTAACAAAAAGAATGTCGGATCGAAAATTTTCTCTTTTACCTAAAATAATATATTTTTTTCAATTTTGCAGGCAGAGTACTAAATAATCTCTAAATAGGGCAAATTGTTAATTTTAAACTAGCATTCTTGACCTCCATATTGGACCTAAAGAAACAAGTTTGTGAGACAAACACTCTAATGTAATCATTTAAATGAATCAGATATAAATATTTTGTTGAATATTTGAAAGACAACGCCTCCCACACCCCCAAACTATTTTACTATCCTTTTTACTATCCTTAAGTTCTTTTAATTTTAAAATGATAAGGTATTTTATGAACGACATGTACAACGAACTGTATTCATTTATTTGCTATCACTGTACGGTTAAAGTCTAGTCACTCCCTCTGAACATATATTATTTTTCTAAAGGTTTTTTTTTATTGCTTCAAATACTATCCGGCATTTTGATAATCTAAACTAGAGGTACTGTGAGCGATGAGCTCACTAAATGATACCCCCCGCCTCCATATAGTTATAATAGCAAAGTCCATGTTTGTTGTGGCCGGAAAACCCAAAATTTGTGTCGGATCAAAAAGTGAAATAGAGGTCACAATGGCAATATGTTAATAAAGATTCTGTGAAAGTTTTATTAAATTTCATTCAGTGGTATGAGAGGAGTTGCGGATAAGAGATGGGTACCCCAAAGCGTAACAGACGGACGGACGGACGTACAGAGGGACGGACGGACGGAATAAACGATTACTATATACCCTTCCGCTTTTCAAGCGGGGGGTATAATGAAAGAAAAGTCACATGAAATTTCAAATTTTGATCTGTCCCTCAATGCATTTGTGGAATATGAAGTTACATACAAACATAGTGAGGTTTAGTTACTAATACATTCATCATAGGGATATTGTGCATTTCCTATTTTCTTTTGCTTCATTTGGGGCGGGTGGGGTTGGGCAAGGGGTGGGATTGGGCTTAGCTTTTAAAAAAAAATTACGATGTACTTGTTTATATTATCTCATTAAGAAGTTTGATTTATATCTTACGATTTATGTAGATATTGAAAAATTATGTAGATATTAGAGATTGTTCTATCTGACGTATCCGTATCCATATACGTATCCGTATCCGTATCAAGATATGAAAGGCATCTCGATCCTGATGTCTCAACCATTTAATACAATTTCCGTTTCTGTTTGTGGTTAAATAAGCCACAGTCAGGCAACGGAAAATAGCAAATGGCAATTTTTCTATTAAAAATACTAAACTGCTGTAAACCTCTTTCATTTCGTAGAAAAATATTTATTAAAAAAAAGATAATGAATAAATAAATTCAAGTTTAAAATATTTCATTTTAACTATTTTGTTTGAAATTAAATTCATTTTGTTTCAAAATATTTGTAGGAAATCTCCTTTCTCTTTTTCCTCTCGCTTAATATCAGGATATTTTATTGATATATTTTGAATTTGTCATATACCTTTACACGGTACATGTATAACGGTATAACCCCCCTCCCCCCTCACACACACTGAAATACAAAATACGTTATCATCAACGCGGTTGATAAAACACTGTAGCCGTTTTTAAAGAGACTATTCAAACTGGTTTCATAATTCGCTTCAGGACCGTTACAAGTATTGAGTATATGCATTGAAGAGCCTGTTCAACTCCCTCGTTTCACCTCCCCTCACACTGGCGTCAGAAGCAAATTAAAAGAAGGGAGGGGGAGGGGGGGGGGCTAATTGAAAGAGAAAAATATAAGTCCTGAAAAACCCTGACAAGCAAAAAAAGTACTTAAACACTATTTTGTGTGTGTGGGCGGGGGGGGGGGGGCGAACATTTTTCATCGCCATTTTTTTTAACACTACCACTTACTCTTCTTTGACTGCAATACAACATGCCTTTTGAAAGTGGAAAGGGAGCTTATCCTACGCCCGCAGCCCCCCCCCCCCCCCCCCGTTCCGGCGTCTGTGCTTCACAATGTGCACACACGTCATTTGATAACGTCTTTTGACTATCATTCATTAATCATTTGTGGTTTGATATAAAAACTATTTCAGAATATGGTATTCAAAAAATATAATCTCAGATCTTTTTTATGCTAAGATCAAAATTAATATGGCTCAAAATTTTCAAAATAATACATCTTATTTTGCTAAGTCTACTTGTCCATCGTGCTAATTTTTTATCCGACTTTCTTTTTTATTTATATGTACAATTTGGCCGAGATCGAGATCATTGTGCACAGTGAAGAGAAGGAACTGCTTCAATGTAGCCAAGAAAAAAATCACGCATTAAAAGAAAAATTACAGTGATGAAATACATGTATCAATTTTTTTTCAGAGCTTGCTTTGTTCACTATAAACTCGATCATGTACCTTTCATAAAAAGAAGTTATTATGCAAATAGAAAATTAAGAAAGGAAGATACATCGTATCCTAACATTTACTTTTCTCCCCCTTTATCAACAAGTGTTAAATCAATCGAGTACTACATATACTGCGTTTAATCGCAACACTGTCGGAAATTGTACATAATCAATTCTCAAGCCCCTTGAAACCCTGGATACGCATAGGTGTCAGAATCGGGGGGGGGGGGGGGGGGCTTAAGCCCCCCTCAATTTTCTTGCAAATATAGACATTAGACATAATATAGGCATTTAAAAGTGGAATTTACCTTTTTTGTTGGTTTAGCCCCCCTTTCAATTAACGCCCCCACTATTTGCCTGCGCCGCCCATGATACGGCTATCAACCTACCATTTAGGGAGTGTATTTAATCCGCCCCAGAATTACCAGCTATCCAATTTTTTTCTGGAGAACTATGACCATCAAATACGTTATAATTAATGGCATAGAAGATGATAAAAAAGAGGATTGACATTTTAGTAAATCCCCCATACACATTTGTTTTGCAATATGGTGAAATCTTTCCTAGTTAATGTACAATTACATGTTTTTACAATTAATTTACAAGTTTGAGATAAAGAGGTTTAACTGTATATATAATTATATATTTTTGGGGATATGTCGTGTTAAATTCTCGTAAATATTAATGTTAATTTTAGAATGAAGAATGAATACCCTAAGAGAGAGAGAGAGAGAGAGAGAGAGAGAGAGAGAGATTTTCGAACAATTTTCTACACATTTAAATAATTCAAATCATGCTTGTTTTTCTAATTTTATTTTTAAACTTTTACCCCCTCCCCTTCTCCCCCCTCAAAACATGATGCATAAGGTGTGTATAGCAACTGATATGTTTTTTATTAAAAATATCACACTACATATCATTTTTTAGTGAATGAGGTTAAAAATCAAACATGAAACGATGGAAATGTAACCAGATTGTTTAGACATCGGGATCGAGATGCCTTTCATATCTCGACACGGATACGGATACGTATACGGATACGGATACGTCAGATAGAACAATCTCTAATAGAAATGTAAATATTTAAATAGACGGACAAGGTGTTTTATATTATTCCAAAACTTTTCAATAGGCATATTATGTTTCATAAACATATGCTTTTGGAAGAATATTGTTTGGGGGTGTCTGGAATTTGCTGTCATGAAAGGACAAGCATAGAGAAAAAGCATGAGTGTTGGAAGAGATGATCAAAAACTCAAATAGTAAATGTGCCTTTATATAATCAAGGACAAACGAATTTTGCATATCGGTAACAATGTCTGCATTGGTTCTCAATGTAGTTTGATCAAATCATAATGTAAATTGTTCTCTCCAAACGTTTGAAAATATCGAACATTTATCATGAAGAAAAAAAAAAGATTTTCACAATAAATTGTAAATATATGTACAACATGCCAGATTCAAATAGATAATTTTTATTTATGTCAGAAAAATATGCATAAAAGAGGCTTACAAATCAATATGAACAAAGAAAGATATCTAATTTAGCAAAACATGTTAACAAACTTCGTCAGGAATAAAGTTTTTATATAAATTAATTGTAGAATTTTTCTACTCACAAGTTCATTCATTCAAGTAATTTTTATAATACTTAATTTTAAAGAATTGCATTTCATTTATACATTTTCCCTTACCAATACATAAAACAATTTTAAGTGCAATATTAAAATTATTATTCAAGGTTTAATAGTCCATAATCCAATACAAAATAGAAACAGAAAAAAGGACTATAGCAGCATGTTTTATGTCAAAATATAATTTTTCCCTCCCTCAATAATTTATTACGCAAGATATTCCTTTTACTTCAAATTAAAACATTTTCTAATCTTTAATTCTTAAAATTTGCTTAAAGCGCTTGCTCCTCAATGAGGAAAACGTGCCCCATTTTACTGTAGCTGTTATTCTGTTGTTTGCAGAACAGGCTGACAATGTACAATGTCAAAAGAAAACCTGCTAAAGCAACAAGAACAATAATTCCCTGTCGAATTTGTTTGGTCTTTGTGCTGTCATCATCTTTTATGTTCTGCATGTCTGTTTTATTTGGATTTCTAGTAGTAAATGATATTTTTCTGTTCTTCTTCTCATTTTTGAAATTATAATGGAAATAAGGATTGGTTTCAGTTTTTAGGGTTGTGTTTCCTACTTTTTCCTTTTCTGTAACAATATTGAAAAAAAAAATATTTTGATTAAAACAACAAACTATTTATTATTCATAAATTTGACTAAGTACAGAGAAGTACAATCTAAAATATATGCGTGGTGTTTCAATTTATTTCTATTTTTTACGCATTGTAATTTTGAATTATGTAATTAATGTTTTTTTCTTAAAACAATCCTTTATGCAATCATATATGTAAAGTTTTGCAATATTTTGGAATAAAAGTCCATTATTTAAATCTTTATATGAAAAAAAAACCATAAATATGGGGTAAAAAAAACCTCATTCACTTTAGTCATATCAATACAATTTATATTATTATTGTCAGAATATTTCTTTTTTTTTTCTTTCCTTATCTTGATATTTAAAGTTTAGCTTTCTTTTACATTAAAATATTTTTTTTTATATAACGTCATCGTCAGATAGATGTGTACAATTGTTGCTGTTTTTAATTTACAAGTAGTTCTCTTTTTTCCAAGCTAACACTTCTAAAATTTTATAGAAATAGTCTGACACCACGAAAATTCAATCTTGAAAATATACATACCATTCAATACATTTGTGATGCACCCATGGGCAAAATTGCAATTTTGGATATGACAGACACATTTACTTTGGCAAAAAAGTCCAAAAGTTGGAAAAGGGCACTTTATTTCGCAATGTCGACCAATAAACCCTTCCGGGCACTCTGTGCCGAAAAAAAGTTTAATTAAATATCATACATGTACTTGATTCATTTTTATAATTTACAGTCCACATATATACAATACATCTATGTTTTGTAAATGAACTGTCCTTAACAGAATCTCTAACATTTTAATTATCTAGATTTTTCAAAATAACGTTCGACATTTTAAATCGAAAATAATGAACATATTGATTGAACTCTATGAAGTCATTTTTTTAAAGCAAATCAGCACTGTCAGTTAAAGAAAAATAAATGAATAAATCAATAAATAATTTTGAAGAAATAAGTAAATGTAAGTAACTTACTAACACAAGTTTTGGTTTTGTTGTCCAGAGAATATCCAGAGCAGCAATCAAATGGGCTAGTTCTGAAATATAGATAAAACATGTTGTTTACAAATTCCTTACTGATTATAAATCTTACTTTTAAGCATAATTGAAAAATAAAGTTATCATAAGAAGAATACCCTTTGCAAGGTTTTTGAGACTCTGGACTGCTTGTTACAAAAACTATAAGATACAAAAGCAAAAAGATATATTTTATTCTCTTTTCCTTCATTTTTGGTGTTCAATATCCAACTAAAAGAGTTCTCTCTTAGTTCAAATATTTCCTTTTAAACATTGTGGAATGAATGATATCGTAAATCTCTATCTTTCCTGTGGGAAATACTCCTTGTTATTAATTAACAACAGGAAGAAATATCCAAAGAAAAACAGGAAACTATCAAATATGTTTCATATATTTTTTTTCTTTTTTATACATAATTATTAAACATTATATAATTAATTGAAAATTTTATTCTCGGATGTATATTTGGAACTTCATATCTAAATAAGGCATATTATATACGCTCCATTAAAAGATATAAACACTTGTAATTTAAGAAATCAAAAAACAAATTTTAATCAGAAAATTCTTTTACACTGTATACATGTATTTAGCCCTAGTGTCGTTATACATGATGAACTTTGAACAGACTTGGCGGAAAAGTATGACGTTTTATGTTGTACTGAGTAAGAAAGGTCTATGAAATGCAGCTGTAGTAAATGCCCTTAAAATTCAGCACAATTTAAATATATATTTTCCCTCTCTTATCTCAGCAATAGCTATCTTCTTGGTAAACAACTTCTACGTCTATCGATTTTAAAACTACACCACGATAATCGAGGAATACGTATTGCTGACTAAAAATAGCTTATTTAGAATCCCTGTGTTCTATATTTAGATTTTGATAATTTTCAGTGATAAATTTTCATAACTATGTATAGTATTCTTTCATTTATAGTATTTTCTGTTGCAGGTAAGCTTACTTATTTAATTTTTATATTTTGTGAATTATTATATTAAATTTGGTCTTTGAATATTTTTTTCTTATTCGTAGAACTTCTTTTTACTAGGTTTATTATACCAAAGCAAGAGTATAAAGCTGAAAATGATAGAAAATCACCATTTCTCAATAATTATACTATTAATAGCATCGTTTGTTTCAAACGTGAGTAACAGTTTTTAATGAATGCATTTTTCAAATCTGAACAAAAAAGTTATAAAAGAAAAATTGCATCATTAGGCGACTTAATTGATGTTTTAAAAGTTTCTTTGAAGAAAAAAAAGAATATTTACATACCTGAACAAAAAAAAAAGCAATACAAAAAAAAAAAAATTCCAGAAGGACCTTGAAAGAATTAACAGTACTATTAAAAGATTATTTGAAAAAAAAATCATTTCATTATGTTACAAAAAATGTTAGTTAATTTCTTTTTAAACAGGTAACTACATTTGGAACATGTGAGATATCTATATTAACAATGCAATATGTTGCAAAATGTCCAGAAGATAAGGAGTCGTGGACGAGAGCAGCAGAAAAATTAAATTGTTCGTCTATTCCTCAGTCGTGTGCAGAATCAATGGGACCCTCTTTTAATATTCAGAATTATATTTTTCAATACCATTGTGTTATAAACACTTGGCGAAATGCAACTATGGAAGTGTGTGCATTGAATCGTACAATATTAGGTACGTATGTAAGCAAGCTGGAAATAACCGTCTAAAAAGCTTTTAGATTTTATTGGAAGAGGGTTATATTCTATGTTTTCTTCTCTAAATATGCACATTCGCTAAATATATAAACATTTTTTTGTATATTGCTTACCGTTTGTTTTTAATTGACAAACTAGCAATAAGAAATGTTTAAAACATCCTCGATGTTATAAGATTGGGTAGGGTTAGTCTTCTTTCTTTTTTTTTTTTTTTTTGATGTTGTTGTTTCTTTGTAAAAAAGAAACATTATTTGTAATTGACCGTTATTAGTTGATAACCATTTCAAAAATCTCTATTTTATATAGGTTTTTGTGCTGAGTTTAATGTTCAAGGAGCGATTATACAAGATAACTACGATGCAGAGTGTACAACACATACACCTTCTTGTCCATCAAGTTATAATTCAGCTGAGGCATTTAAATGTAAGAAATGAGATATTAATTGATACATTTACAGTATTAAGATAGTTCAAAATCCGCTTATTAAGTATTATTATATATACCTTGGATCTTTGTATGAATGATTTTAATGATATTCAGATCCGTCATGCTATGAGATGGCAAAAAGAAACAGAATAACAAATACCAAAACAATAGAGGAAGAATTCCACGCTTCATCAACTTCGAGGTAGGATATTTACATTATAAAATCTTTCTCTCTCATTCTCATACTGGTTTTGCTATCCTATTTTAATGCATACACTGAACCAAACTTCTAAGTGTTCACCAAACATTTTGGAAGTTTTAAAGAACAAATGCAAACAATAGATAATTTCTTTAATTCTTGGTTAATGATGCATATTTAAGTTCGATGTTGCGTAAATTTCATCTAAGTATCTCGTCAGAATTTTAAGCAAAGTGTCAAGGAAATGATGTACCCTCAAATTGAAAATTCACACAAAAAAAATCTCATAGGAGTAAGACACACTACTCGCTCTACTAACTACAAGACAATCTTTATTGTCGGATACCATGTACCCTTTGAATAGGAGATTGACCCATCTGCTGCCACACCTACATGTACTGCATAGACCTATCAGAACAATTAAAATTGTGAGGAAAAGGGGGGGGGGGTCTTTGACATTTCTTTTAAAATGCCAAATGTGTTCAGTGGGATTCAGAACCAGGAATTGTACAGTGTATCGTCACGCAAATGCCTTTTGATCAATATCCTTGGGTGTTTAGCACGTAAGTGTGCCGCTTTTAGGATAATTCAGACTGATAGAGCTGATATAAGACTGCCTCTAGCACCGATTTCTTATCATTTTCGTACGATTGAAATGGTTTGTTTCCATGTTTATAAGATTTTTTCAGGACACTTGAACACTCCGTTAACCTGGTGTGACGCAAGATTTTCTTCTCAGAAGATCAAGGTCACTTCCGGTGTGGTTAAATTTTGTCAAAAAGTTTCAAATTGTGATAAATTAATGATGAAAAATGAGCACAGCCTATAGAAAAATGTGTTTAAATGGGTTTTGATACTGTTTGATATTTTTTTAAAGTAATATCAAGTACAATTAAGCACTAAAGTAAAAGTGAGTAAAACGTGGTGCAGAGATGGTCTAGATTTCAACATTCCAACGGCTCTACCTTCTATCTCAATGGTCATTTTGCCAATATTTTGTGTTTTTTAGTGAAACCAGTTTTTAAAATTTGATAATGATCACAAAGAATGCTTATTACATTAAACACGTGCCGCAAAATACAGATTTATTGTTTTTAAGCTTTGTCACGGAACATTGGTTTTCATCGGTGATATTTGATTTTTTTCTACAATTGTTGAGAAGACTCATGTATTGTAATTATAATTGAAAATATAATGCCATTCTCTAAAGTATTTTTTAAATAAAACCATTTATTAAAGTGAACACCTAGAAGTTTTGTTAAGTGTATATTGTCATCTGAATATCAGATAAACTTTTTTACAGATTTGTCCTTAGTTCATTTCTCACGATGCTCTGCTTATTTAGAAGTATATAGGGGTTCTTGAATAACCGGAACGAAGAAGAAGTTTACCTTCAAAAGTCATGCTCAACATTCCTGCAACAAACTTGGGGAAGATCAATGGACTTAAAAGAAGGAGCAGTTGTTTACTACACGATCTCCATCTAAAATATCAATTCATCAAAATATCAAATCAATGGCATTGGTAATATATTAATGATCATAATGATTGTATATTTGGCAAGAGAATGCTTGTATGTGAAAAATCGATGTTTTTTGTTTTTTTTTTTTATAGAATGTGTTACAATTTCGTAAATTGAAAAATGTTTAAGGCATTATGTAAAGAATTCTATTTTATATACGGGTATGTACACAAAGTGTTGAATCGGTTGTAATCTAATGTTATGTGAGTATCCAGGTACATTACTATTGCATATACTTAAGAGCTTGTATTTTAAAATCATATACCATACATTTCCTCTCAAAATGAATAAGTTGATAAAAGTGCCAAAGTTATTATATTTTCCCAATGCGTTTTTTGCCAATTTATGTGTAAAAAATGGAAAAAATAATAAAATAAACTAGATGCTGTCATGAGACAGTAATACCCGCACTAAGGTGTTTGCCTCTAAATACACGCTCCTACATATTGGGCGGCTTTCAAAGGAAATAGTCAAAATAATTCTATAATTTACATGTATTAATCAAATTGATTATGAAATTCTCAGACCCTGTGACCTATAACTCAGAACCTCTTATATTTATTTTATACATGCTTAATTCATTATATACAAGTCTGAATTTTATTAATGATGTAAATTCATGCACGGATCTGTCAGGGGGGGGGAGGGGGGGTCAGCCCCCCCCCCCCCCCCTTGGAATTTACAAGGTTAAAAAATGTATACACTAAAACAAGGAAAAAGTTACAATGGACCCCCCTTTGAAAATGCAGATCCCCCCCCCTGGTAAACACGAATATGTGTAAAATAGGTATGAAAAGTTAAACATTTGCGGCAATAGAAGTCACCACTACCCCTTACCCACCTCCACGATATAGGTTTTTGACGTTTGGGTGAGATTTACTTTAGGTTTTTTTTTGATTGTCAATTTCTGGGATAGGATTTTTTTTGACTGAGGTGGACCTCCCCCCCCCCCCCCCCCCCCCACCGGAAAAAAATTCTGGATCCGCGTCTGAAATTATATATGTTTTGCTCATAATAGGACCTTTTTAAATTTACTACCCCCCCCCCCTCGACGCCACAATCACACAGCACATACTTTTTGGAATAGGCTAGATGGAAAAGGTTTGTTAAAATTTAATATCGTTTGTAATGAATTAATTTAAAATTTGTTCTTGTACTATACATGTGAACATGTAAATTTCTACATTACATCACGTTGCATCACCCATTATGATATTTATAGATTAAACACCATTTGGCACACCTCGGCCGATTCCCACTTCATCTGATAAGGTGTTGGAATCGACGAAAGTTCGCCAAAATGGCACATGGTTGCAGTCTGGTGTGCATTGGATTAATTCATTTTGTGTTATAATTGGATTTATATTTCATGAAGTTTACGAGACACAGGGAGTCGGTAAGTAGAAGTCAATGATTAGGTTAAAGTTTAAAAAGGGTCAAAGATCATCCCATGCCACACTAGACGAATTTCATATTGTGAAGTTATCTCCCATTGTCGATGTGACATTCAGTTACTGCCAATACTGGTGCGGATCCAGAATTTTTTTAGGGAGTAGGGAGGGGGGTTCACATCTAAGTCAAAAAATTCCAGCCCAGAATTTCGTGACAAGCAGGAGAAAAAAAATGAAAACAAATAAACAAATAAAAAAACAATGATAGGGAGGTCAATGTTTTCTAAGTTTATAGGGAGAGGATGTCAAGAGTCATTTTTTACTTGCTACAGTATATAGTCTTGTTTAAATAACAAAGCAAATGCAAGATGGGGGGGGGGGAGGGGGGGGGGGGGATTCCAATCTTCCTACCCACTTCCTGTCCCTGAAATAACAATCTATTTTGTGATTCCAGTTTAATAGTATATTTTTTTTCCATTTGACTAATTATTATACATGTACATATTTTGTTTCTTGTGTTTATAGTATGTCTGTCTATAAGTCTGCAAAAATTAAATCCTAGCTAGCTTGCCCATAAGTTTTAAGTGGGATGGGCTATACATATAGCTTCCACATTTTATAGGTTTATTTCTTGTGACAATTTAATAAGACCTTTTATTTGGGTACCATTAATTTTTACCTCTGATCGCTTGACATGGGATACACATTTTTACAAGAAAAATACCAAACTTTAAACTCTGCCTAATTTTTGATCAGTAGGTGCTAGGGCTTTCATACTTATCATGACATATTGTATTCATTTTGAACTGTCAACAGGAAATATGTTTGACCTTGACCCTAGAGTTTGAACCACTTAAAAAAAAAATTAACCTTGGCAATTAACTTTTGAAAAGGAATTACTAGAGATTTCTTTATTTAACATAGACTTTCTTCTGACACTAACAATTTGAACCCTTGACCTTTGAGTTTGACATATATTTGAGAAACTTCAACCTTCGCCATAGGCTTCCATACTGGGACATCAGTGTTTCACAAACACATCTTATCTACATTATTATTTGGTGGTGTCTCCATATGAGGGAAGATGTATTCACAACAAACAAACAAATTACTAAAGAAAATATAAAACATAAATATGTTGGTCATGCATATCTCTGCAGGAAAAAAAACAGCTTTTCAAATACTCCAACCATATTGTAACCCTTTCAAAACACTCATTTGAGCTTTTTTTGTTTCCTTAGCATATAATGTCTGTCGTGACGTGTTGTCCATCTGTTTGTCTGAAAACTTTTTACATTTTTAACTTCTCTAGAACCACTGGGCGAATTTTACCCAATTCATATAGAAATATGTACATTTGTATGTCAGACTCAGTCCATCTGTCTCAAAAAATTTAATCTTGGTTATCACGGTCATATCTACAGAATGAGAAGAGACATTCATATTAAAATTATTATTAGTATATTTTCCTGTGAGAATGGCATGTTTTTTTTTTACATGTGACCTAGAAGTTTGACCAACTTGCAAAAAAATTAAGTTGTTATAAATTCATCATTTTGAAAGAGAAAAGTTAGGGCATTCATATCATAATGCATGTTTATTATTACCTGTGATAAAGACCTTTCCAAATATTTTTACACTGTGACCTTGACCTTGAAGCGATCAAGCCTAACCTACTTTTCAAAAATGTTGCATTTGCTTATAACTTTTGATTGAGATGAGATATGACTCTCACATTTGACATGTACATAAATTACTCATAAGAATTCAAGGTGTTTCCCAGCATGCAATGTTTTTTTTATGCGCCCCAATTTTTTAGGGGCGCATATTGTTTTTGTCCTGTCTGTTT